AGGCGTGGTTTACTCTTAACTTTTATAAAGAATATCTCTTTGTATTTGAGACTTTAGTCTTTGCAACTTTATGCAAAGATCTTCTTTATGCACCAAGAGCTTGTAACACTTCAAAGAGAAAGGAAAAATTGAAATCGCATCATATGACCCCTTAAATAAAAACCAGTAGTATCATATATTACATTTTTTGCAGAAATAAATACAGAAAAAGTTCTATTTATCTTGAAAATCAATATTAAATCAAACTATTTTTTGGCCCAGCCCTAGTTGGCAGCTCAGCTTTCTGTTTCCTGCAGTGTTGGAGTGCTGGACTCTTCCTCTTTTGGGGTCACAAAAGCTTCACCTTTGTTTAGATCACTATGGGTCTCTGATTGAATGCTGATAGGATTAGTAAACCCAGGATCGAGCCATGCATTAGTACTTTTCATGTTGTCCCCAGGCTAATGGTCTTTTCTAAATTCTCAGGTAGTCAATTCTCAGACGATGACCTTGTGGATGTGGGCAGTGATAACTCTTACAAACCTGACAAAGGCAAAGGTGACAAACTTAAACTGCCTGACAGATCCTCACATTGTGGGACATGTCAAATAAAAGTAGGAGTGTCATTTGAAATGTTCATATTTCTACAGGTGGAAGAGGTGGAAGTAGTGGCGGAAGCAGTGACAGAAACGGTGGCAGTGATTTGGATCCTGCTGATGACAGCTATGGTATGATTGCGTTAAATAGTATTCAGGGCTATTAGAAGAACATTCTGTATAGCTTTTGCTAATTTGGTACAGTTAAATCTTTTATTAGTGGCCAATGTGTTCATTCATAGACACCATGGCTGAGACTGGAACCATTGCTGGTATTGTGAGCGCTGTTGCTATGGCTCTGGTCGGTGCAGTGAGCAGCTACATCTCCTACCAGAAGAAGAAGTTGTGCTTCAGCATACAGCGTAAAGACAAATACATTTTCTTTTTAATTGTTCCACACTGTTTGTATTTTTCCATGCGTTCATTATCACGTGCTTTATCTTTCCACAGAGAGTCTGAATGCAGATATGGTGAAAGCAGATGCCCCAGATGCTGTAGTTGCACAGGAGCCACAAGGTATTGAACCCGTTTGTTGCATTTATGAGGCAAATGTCTTCATTTAACATTTTTTGGTGGAATTTAAAGAGCAGGTCATATGGTATTTTAAAGTGTCCTAATATTGTGTTGGAGTCCCCTACAACAGGTTTAAATGCATATGTCAGAAAACATTGTAATTTTCTCAGAATATACATTTAATATTAAGAGTAATTTGCCAATGATTTCGAAACGATTCGTTCCAAGCAAGTTGAACTTTTAATCAGAACACAGAACAGCTGTATCACAGGCGCTGCAGCCTAACTAACTCGCTCGTCTCTCCCGCATTAACCCTATATAACTGCCGGTGTTCTGACAAATAATGCTACCTATCAGATTATGCTACCAACACTGTATTTATCCTACTGTAAGGGTAGGTTTAGGGTTGGGGTAGGTGTACATGTTAATTAAGCCTCACACCTTATTAATATCATGCTGGAAGCAAAATCTGATAGGTAGCACTTT